AGCGTTTCTTAAGGGCCTTAAGCATGATGTAAGAGCTGAGTTGAAGCTATACTCTACAAGAACTTTGGCTGAAGTTATGGACGTGGCTTCTTTAATTGAGAACAAGAACACTAAAGTTTGTATCATGAAGAACAAAGATGAAAGGAAGAAGAAATGGCATGGTAAGAGTCAGCATCATAATTGGGAGGATGAAAATAAATGGAAGACTCCACTTGTTAACTCTATTAGTTTGGACAAGGCTACAGTTGATAACAAGATAAATTCTGATGTGCAAGAGCAGAACATGATAAGGAATAGCCCCAGATTGTCCCAAGCAGAACTATTAGATAGAAGCAAGAAGGGACTCTGTTTTAAATGCGGAGAAAATTGGGGTAGGGGACATGTTTGCAAGATAAGGAACTATAAAATGATCCTAGTGGAGAATTCTGAGGATGAAGTTGGTTCTGAAGTTGAATCACTGGAGTCAGGAAAAGATAAGACCATACATCTAGAATTGAAGACCATGCAGCTTTCAGTATTAGGTGAGGAGGGCATACCATCTATAAAGACATTTAAGGTAAAAAGAGTAATGAGGTGGCCTGATGGAGAACTAACAGTGAATGTACTTGTGGATAGTGGTGCATCCCACAATTTTATCTCACAAGACTTGGTGGAAAGATGGAAGATCCCTTACACTCCAATTCAGGAATACAAAGTACAAACTGGAAATGGAGAAGGCATAACCAACTATGGCAAGTGTGCAGGAGTGAGCCTGAATGTGCAAGGGGTTGAGATTCAGCAGACCTATTATTTAATGGAATTGGGAGGCACTGATGTAGTCCTGGGCATGGAATGGTTGACTGATTTAGGTGATATGGAAGTTAATTTCCAAAACCTGATCATTCAAGGTGATGGACATCTGTGGCACTGGGAGGGACACACTAATGAGCTGAAGCAAGAACAGTTAACTGAAGGCAGAAGGAATGAGTTTATAAAGGAGTACCCTGAAGTTTTCAAGTCAATTCTGGATAGAATGTCCTGGCGTTTGTGTTATTCTGCTATGAAAAGCATAGGGAAGAAGGTGGAAGCAGCCCAGTTAAAGATCCAGAAATCCATCCAGTATTGGAAAGGGAGAGGTGCTAGGATGAAAGAAAAGAAGAAGATTGTGGCTGTGTCCTATCACCCACCTTGAGGGCAAGGTGGATGTTTAGGGGGGAAGTATTAATAGGAACCTGGGCCTAATAGACTAATAATAATAAAAATAAGGGACCGGGCCTATTAGAGTATTAATAATAAGAAGTGTATTGTCTAGTATAAATAGATGATAGCTGGGAAGAGTTAGGCAGGCTGTTTTAGACTTTGACTTTGGGACTTGGGAAGATCGAGAGCTATCTCTTTCTTTGGGGGGCCTCGGCTCATTTGGGGGCTTCGGCCAGTTCTTGTTACCATTACTGTACTGGTTCATCTCAATAAAATTTCAGATTAATTCTTCATAGATTTCTGTAAATCTTCTGTAAACCTAGATAGTCCCTATCACCCTCAGCCCTTTAGCAGAGAACTATAAAAGTAGAACATACTGTATCCACATATACAAACCTGTGTAGCGACAATCAAGGTAAATTGCAAAAAGAAAGAAGGATTCTTCTCAATTAGTTCCTTTGGGTACTCGTCTATGAATTTGGCCTTCACGGAATCATTGAGCTCTTGCAGAAATGAGCATACGCATCTTGCCTTTGATTGTCCGACATTTGATTCGTCCACTAACAATTATATCATGAAGAGGATGGAAAAATAAAAACTATAGTTACTAGTTTCAACATAATGCATACACATACATGTGGCTTCATAGATATTATTTTACATATGCGCATACCCAGAAAATTATTTCCAAGGTCACCAGCTTCCACTTTAGATCCATCAACAACAGTGATACTTCCAACCCCACCAAGAACAAGGTTTTTCAAAGTTTCAGAACCAGTAGGCCCACAATTAAGTAAACATATACTGGATTTCTCCAAAGCAGCCTGTCCCTGCTCACCCCATATCCTGCCAAAAGAAGAGCAACGAGATGTAGGTTTACCCCTATTTTAACACAACCAAACTTCTCCAGAGAAAAAGCATCATTAAGTTTAGGCAAATCCAGCCTTTGGACTAAATTTGACTTAGCAAGTTACGCATGGAATAGCACTGCTTAATACAAAAGAAAATTGATCTATTGCATTGCTAAATACTAATGATGAAAAGATGGAACATTGGCATCAAGTACAAACTAAAGTATTGATAAAAAACTACTCCATAATGTTCAACTTTATTTCCTTAGGAAGGAAGAGTAGGGATGATGCTTTTGGCCGGATGAACTAGTGCATACTGCATTTTCTATATAAAAAAAATACTGCGGGCTCGCATATATTGCAACAGCTTCTAGCATACACTATAAGAAGGCGACACATAGGCTTCACCTGAAAAAAGCATTACCCTAAGTGGTCTGTGATATGGTTTTAGAAACTACTACTTGCATCAGGATTTTGAGTCCGAGTGCTACACACCCTATTTTTTATTTTTGTACTTTTGATTGCACAAGCTAGACTTCTTCCTGTCAATGTCAATCAAAACAAAAACAACTAATAATTTTTGTACACCATTGTGTTGAGAACAATACAGCTTTTGTCAATGTGAGGCTGGTGCACAAAAGTTGCAAGTCTCCATGATGCAAAAAAACCCTTTAGTTTCCTATCCGCGTCAAATTTGCATCTTAACATTCCTAATCATTTCTAACCATTTCCGGTTTCAAATATCCCATCTGTAAACCAACTTTATTTTTTCAATTCTAAATCTTATTATACATATTTGCACTGCAAAAACCTTCATTTCATTAAGGTTTTGCACTCTTTCAAGTTTGTAATGCCATGTGTTCACACGTTTTTTTCAGTTTGAAGGTTAATGCTCCATTGGCAAATTTAAAACATTCCCTTTGTTAAAAAAATGTATCCTATTTCAAACACTCTAGTTCTTCCGGAATACTAATATGTCCTGCAATTGAGTTCCTAGTTTGACTTTATGGTTTTTTAGACAAAATAACTTTTATAATGACTTTCCAATCATGTCGTTCCTCAAAGGTATGATCGAGAAAATCAACAATTAGGGATATACTTTTCATAGGGATAAAAGAATATTTTACCATCAATTCAAACATTGCCCAGAAGAGAGGTAGGAACTTGATTTTGGGACATCCCAAAAAAACAAAGTGGGAACTAAATTGCAGAACTGACAGAGTATAATTAGGTAAAGTTTGATGAAACAGATAAATTTCCATGTGGTTTACCAAAAAGTAATTCACTACCTTGTAGTATTAACTTTTCCAAAAAAGTTACTGCCTTATAACATTTAACTTTATATTTATACTGCATATTTAAATTATTCTATTCAAAGTGCGCATAATAGATACTCATGCTTCTTTATGTAAGTTTAAATAAAGTTTTAATATGTCCTCATACAGTTATACCTACAATGTGAATGGGCTGACATCTAGTGCTAGGTCCGCCACTCAGAACAGAGGTGAAATTAGTAAAGAAAAACCCTAATGAAATTGATTAATCTGTAGTATGTGATACTAAGTCATTGAATTTACAATTATACTTCCAAGCTGCAAAACCTACTTGAGAAGTTTACTAGCTCTCTGTGTGCGTAGTTCATCCTTTCGAATAATATAGCAGTTGACTGAAGTCCAGCTTTCAATTCATAAAACCTCAAAAACAATCACAGGCAACTCAACATCACTGCTATGAAGGAGAGAAAGACTGTTTTTCAATTTCGTGTAGTTTCGGCAACGCAACAAACTGAGTAAAAGGATACAGTTGCTTATGAGCATACGAGGGGCAATGGCCGCAATCCAAAAACTAAATAAATGGAATCATAAATTGACATGTGTTAAACTGGATTGGTGAGGAATTACTACCTGAGTTGACGATCGTATTTAACTTTGGGCTCCGCCATTGCGCGCGAGTAGAGAGCAGAGTGACTCGACAGGAAATCCGCTTGAAAGCTACGCTAGTGCAGCTCACGGGTTGTGATTTTTATTTGACAATAACTTAGAGGGGGTTAGTTTGCAACTGCTTTTAAAAAAGCACTTTTCACCTTTTGGCTTTAAAAAGTACTTATTTTCCCAAACACCACAACTTTTATTTTTCTCGGCTTCTGTGTAAAAAGTGCTTTTTACTTTTTCTATTACACAAAAAGCACTTATTTTATCAAACACTACCTACTTTTACTTTTAAAAATCACTTTTTTCTCAAACACTATCAACTTTTATTTAATCACTTCTCCTCACTTCATTAAAAAAAGCACTTTTTAAAAGCAGAAGCTGTTGCAAACAGACCCTTAAGGGTTGTGGTTTTTGCGGATTTGCCTTTTTGGCAAGGAAGGTAAAAAAATGATTACTTATCTATACTTATATAAAAAGGGGAAAACTGTTACATAGATCCCGTACTATATTATACTCCCTCCGTCCCGTTGGAATGTTCCCGGTTTGACCTACACACATATTAAGGAAATAAACTTATCAGGGGGTAAATTTTACTGTTTGGACACTGTTTGGACACTGTTTGACACTGTTTGACACTGTTTTGCACTGTTTGACACTGTTTTGATGTAGGATAACTTTCCATTTAGGGAAACAAGAACTTTCTATTGGAACATCCAAAAAAGGAAAGTGGGAACATTCCAACGGGGCGGAGGTAGTAAAAGTCAATTGAGTTTCCGTACTATTAAAACATTCAATCTAGTCCCTCAACTACGTAGTACGGAGTATTAAATTACACTCAACTATGATTTTTAGCCGGAGGGTGAACACAACCCTCAAATATTATTATAATATTAAAAGTACATCACATTGTACTCTTCTCCCACTATGCCCATATTCTTCCATATACTCCGTATATACGGAGTATGTAGTTTTCTTTTAGAAATGATATTTAGGATGTGGGGTCACTTTAATTTGTAGACATACCCCTTTAATTTGCTTATCTGTATTTGTTAAATCATACGCACTACTATTTCTCCACTGCCCCATCTCCGCTTCAGTTTCAGACCTCCATATTCAGTGTGCTTCGATCGTTATTTCCTAAACCGTTGGTAGAGAAGATTGCAGACACCTGCAGACGTATATAAGGTATTTTTCATTACTTCTATTATACTCCATAGTTAAAGATGCTTTTAGCTCCTTTAGTATTTCAATACTCCGTATTTGATTTTGCACTTGCATTTTTTTTAAACTCATACGATAGTATGGTACCACCGATTTCTATTCTTAAAAATTAAATATCTTTTAACCATTTATCTATCCAAGTTGGTGATTTGATTACGTTTATTTTTGTTCTTGAAAATATTACATACTCCGTACTAGAGATATCAAAAATTGAACTTTATTCATATTATACAGATTTTTAATTTTCTATCATACGGCTTTTTCTATTCAGTAGATTTTGAGTGTTTAATTTTTATCAGATTTTTAATTTCCTATCATTCGACTTTTTCTATTCAGTAGATTTTGAGTGTTTAATTTTTACTAATTATTTTTAGATTTGTAGTCTTGATCAGTTGTCATGAGTGTCCCAGACTTGAATTTTTGTGTGGGTGAAGAGACTCCTATTGTTAATGAAGAGTACAGGGGTTCAAATAATCAGCTTCTGGAAGAAGGAAATATTGAAATAGAACCTGAAATCGGGATGGAGTTTGAGAGTGCAGAAAACGCTTACAATTTTTACAACTCATATGCAAGGAAGATTGGTTTTAGTGTGCGTATTTTCCGAACTAACAAAAACAGAGTTGATAGTACACTAATTCAACGTCAAGTTTTAGTGTGCTCATGTGAGGGATTTTACAAGAAAATCAAGACACCTCAGAAGAAACGAGACGAGACACGTTGTGATTGCAAAGCATCCTTTACATTTAAACGTCTTCCAAATGAGAAGTATCAAGTGATTGGTTTTGAATCAGTACATTCTCACGACCTTGCGCCATTTGAACATTCTGGTTACTTGAGGTCTCAATGGAAAATTGAATTTACGCAAGCTGAAATGATGACCACAATGCATGCATCCGGCTTGAAGCAAGGACAGATTTTCTCATATATGTGTGAAGAAGCCGGTGGAACTCAGAACCTTAATTTTACAAGATCAGATTGCAATAACTTCCTTCAAAGAAAGCGATCTGAGTTTTTCAAGAAAGGTGATGCAGAATGTCTTCTAGAATACTTCAAGCAGAAGAAAAATGAGAACAAGAATTTCTTCTATTCATTTAGGTCACATGAAGATGGTGAAATATGTGGAGTATATTTTTGTGATGCAAAATCTAGACGGGATTATGGGTTGTTCGGTGATGCTATATGTTTTGATACGACTTTTCGGACAAATAAGTATGACATGTTGTGCGCACCAATTGTAGGCATAAACCATCATGGACAAACATCATTGTTTGGTTGTGGCCTACTAGATGGTGAAACATATGATGCAATTACTTGGTTGTTCATTACCTTTTTCGAGGCAATGGGAGGAAAGAAACCAAAGAGCATATTCACTGATCAGTCCGCTGCTATATCTGCGGTAGTTGATGAGCTATTACCTCAATCCCATCATGGGTTGTGTTTGTAGCATTTATGTCAAAATGCGGCAAAAAATTTGAGTTGTAACGGATACAAAACATTTTCACAACAATTCAAATCATGCTAAATGGGAGTAAAAACGTTTTGAAATTCCAAAATAGGAGTATCATGTTTTTTATTCCCTGAATAAGAGTAAACTACCAAGTTTGGAAAAAATTGCCAAGTTTAAAGCTTTGTAATGCCAAACTTGACAGAAATTTACTCCTATTTAGGGAATAAAAAATATCATACTCCTATTTTGGAATTTCAAAACGTTTTTACTCATATTTAGGGAATTCTCTCATTGAAATTCAGCTAACAATAATATTACGGGACCTTTTCTTAATGTCGAAATTAGCTAAATCTGTTAAAATTGATGAAAATTTGCTTCAAGCGGTTCAATAATCTAAATATGCTAAATTACGAAATGAAAAAAAAATTACATTTAAAATTATATTTTATTCTGTTAATTTTGATAAAATGAAGATAATAATTTTTTATTTATATATTGCCAAATTTAAAAGAAATACTACCCCCGTCCCAAAAAAATTTGTCATTTTCAAAACTTTGACCGGTTATATCTTTTTATTGAAAATTATTTATAATATAAAAATTATATGAAAATGTTCTTTGTTAAAAGTACTTTCATAAAAGTATAAAATTTATAGCTTCCATAATATTATACCAATCAAAATCAAGGTTCAAATTTTTGGAATTGGCAAAGTTTTTTGGGACGGAGGTAGTACGTTGCACATGCCTTTTGTAAAGTACTCCGTATAAGACCAAAAGGCCCCACAAGCATGTCTAATCTAAATAAATACTCCCAAAAAAAGATGTATTGGGCTTCAGGTACACATTTGTGTACACATTAGTACACAGTATAAAAGAATTTTTTTAACTTTATTTCGTTTTAACCTTTCTTTCCTCGCTCCCTGTGCCTCCCTCTCGTCCTGTACCCTCCTCTCTCGGAGCTCCTTGCATTTCTCTTCCCTCTTCTCCTTTTCTTTTTCCTATTTCTTTTCTTCTCATTAATTTGATTTTCTTTCATCTACACTCCCTCTGTGACCATCAAATTTTACAGAACTTATCTAGAGCTTATTTCTTCTGTAGATTCCTTCTAAATTTTCTACGGTAACTGGCAGGATGACTTGCGAGCATAGTGTTGGCCCTTTCAGCCACCAACACCATGCTTGCGTCTGTTTACCAGTCCGGTTCCCCGATCCAAGCTCCTTACCCTTAATTAACTCATATGTAATTAGCTCTTCTTCTCCTTTTTGTTAATGTTCATTTAGGTTTTGATTATGCTTTTTTTATTGGAATTGTATGTTTTATTTATATTATAACGGTTTTTGTTTGGCTAGCTTATGTTCGTATTTATGCACTTCATCACAATACCTATTGCTCAAGAATTCATTTTTTCTCACGCTTACAATGTGTTTGATAATACGTTTTAATGAAATGATGTTATTTTAATGATGCCAAAGTATATTTGAGTTCTAAAGGAGCGTAGTATACTTGCATATTTTTATTTTCAGTCTTGATTTTCATATATTCTTTACTATAATGACTTGTGGAATTTCAAGAATATCATTATTTAAGAGTACTAATATAGGTATAATATTCTAAGTAAGTCTTTTTTTTCATAACTTACAAAAAGATGTATGAAGAACATTGAGGGCCTATGGAGTAGTTGGCTTCAATCATTTATTTAACATATTTACATGGATTCGTCTCAATTGCTTTCTTATTATGTTTGTCATAGTGGAAAATGCATCTAATTCCAGTAGCATTAGGCATTAGCAATTGCATTTTGTGCCAATGGGGTGATTGTACTGTGTCATTTTGCTCAACTAAAGGAATGATGATGGATTGTTATTCTTCTTCCTAAAAAGAACATGTCTATATAGCTCGACTTCTCTGTGTTGTGTTAGCATAGTCTGGGAGTATCAAACATTTTCCAAATCAGTCCGTAAATTAAGCTTGACATTGAAGTTTGTGTCCATGAATTGAAGGTGTTCAGTTAATTACTTGCTTCAATTTTTTGAATTTGTGAAGTTGATTATTGACATTATAGTGTAAGTATTCTATTCTATTTTCTTGCACATGAAGTGTTCAGAAGGAACCGCAGGCAGAAGACAAACGCGAAGCTATTACACAACTAAGTTTGGCTATGGATTTCTTGAGGGAAGAAAATACAAGTGTAGGATGAAGAAAAACGAGAAGCTGTCAAGATTAATCTTTTATATTATGAAACTAATATTGAATGTTTCTAAATGACCATGCACATGCAGATTTTTTTACCAAAAGAGGAGACCATTTCTTGATTTATGCGTGCAACTGTGTAAGGGCATGCTAATTCTTTGTTGTCATTGTTCATTTCAGGTACCTGATGCAAGGTTTTAACTAAGGGTTAACTGATGTATGTAGCAATCCCTTCTGATATAAAGTTATGTCAAACTCGGCTTTATGATCACCCCAATGTGTGGTGGGAGAAGTGATATGAAGCTGATCCACGAAACATTCTTTGCCTCAATCCTCCTCACCAAGAATGGTTGGACCAAACCCACTGGAAATGAGTCTGAGACTTATAATGAATAGGCTGTTCATAACCGCTTTTGAATTCTCACAGTACGGGGCACAATTCAACCTTCAAACTCTCTGGTTTCCTACTTCATTACTGCTATTGGAGGAGTTATGGTGTTGCTCTATTTGTTCATGTAGAGACATTGTCTGGGCATGTGGTCAAATTTAGATTGAGTTTTGTCGGTGTTGATTTAATGATTTCTTTAGCTTGTTTTTTGAGATTTTATGTAGTAGCACTTTGGATTTAGCTTCAAAAAAAAGATTGAAATATTGTAGTAGCTAGATTTATAGTACTTGGCTTTGTTTCACTTGTAAATGAAATGTATTGAATAGAATAGTATATCAGTTATACGTTATGAAAAATGAATGTGACTTTTGGTGTTATGAAATTTGAAACGAAGTGTAATTGGATTTGTTGTGGAATATAATAGTTGGGTGATAAAAAGAATCGTTTGTTTTGTTTGTGCTTAGTCAAAGCATCATCTTAATATACTCATGTATAGAATTTCTATGATGCTCACAAACAAGATAATTTTAGCTAAGTTTTTTTTGTCACATGGACAATACAAATGAACACAAACAATTATTTTCTTAGCACATGCAAAATAAATGAACACAAGGACAGTGTGTTAAGCATGCACATACAATATAAACAAACGCACTGACAATTACTTCTACGCACGGACAAAATAAACGAACACACAAACATTGTTTTAATCATACACGAACAATATAAATGAAAACACAGACAAAATAAATGAGCACACGAACAATCTTTAACAGCACATAGACAATATAAATGAACACAAAGACAATCATTTTCTATGTCATTTGGAACAATAAAAGTTGAAATTGTTTGTGTTCATTTATATTGTCTGTGCAAGGTTAAAACATTGTCTGTTTGTAGAAAACTATTGTTTGTGTGCTAGTTTGTATTGTCTCTGCATAGTTTAAATATTGTTCGTGTGTTTATTTGTTTTGTCTGTGCATAGAAATTAATTGTCTGTATTCATTTATATTGTCTGTGCGTAGTTAAACTAATGTTTGTGTATTCATTTATTTTGTCTGTACCTAGTAAATAATTGTCTGTGTTCATTTATATTGTCAGTCACTAATTCAGACTCAACTAGTGAGTTGGTTTGCCAATGAGTGAGTAGAATAAATCATTGTTGGTATAGGTGAGACTAAAATCGAAAATTACCAACTAATTATTATATGGACTTGCACAAAGGCAAAATAATCCCCCAATACACAACTACTTAAGATTATATGGACTTGCACAAAGGTAAGAAAATTACCAACAAAAACCAAACAATACAATAAGTGAAGAAGATTACACTTTCTTTTAGGGCTATGGGTCATATATAGAAGAAGAGCAAATATAACAAAACATTTGGTAAGAAAAGGGCCAAGTGAAGGATTCTTCACATACATTTTTCCTAACTACCCTTCAACCAAGTATTCTTTCATCTCATCAACCAATCCCTGCATTTGTTGCCTAGAGTGTAATGGAGAAGGATAAACATAAGCACGATCCAACTCTCCATCCCTAATTATGTAAAATATAGCAATTTTGAGGGGTTGATGCCATGAATAGAAGCACATCCAATGAAGTCCTCAAGGAGGTTCGTGGGTTGTTGATCAAAGATGGGCTCATCAAACACCGAGATAAAGAACGTGCCGCAATCAAACCAGCTGCAAACAAAACTCCACCTGCACACTTTCACTTTTTTGACAAATTCATTAAACATAAAATCATTACAACACCAAACTAAAAATTAATTTCTACACATGAAAGCAATATAATTCCTATAACATAACATAATTCATCAACATATGCTAAGAAGGCCCTTAACACGAACGAACAAAGTATCAAATAGGTACAACAAATCTGTAAAACAATCAATTTTCAATTCCTGTTTAGCGCTAATAAACCTTTGGGGTAAATAATGAACAGAGTAAAATTAAATAAACTCAATGATATTAAAACATAATAAAGAACAGATTTGATTATATGGCAAGACATAATTGATAAGTTAAATTTAAAGTAAAATAAAAAATCACAAAAAGTGGAATAACAACTGATTTGTGAAGATGTACACTGTTTTGGCTCCTCCCTATTATAAAACATGTACATAGAGGTGGGTTCATCAACATTTTGTCTTCCATTATTGGAAACGGCAAATGAAAGAAAACTCAATTGAGACATTTCAGGTAGTACACGAATTGAATATATCATCCATTTCATATTGGTACTTCAATTGAATGAAAATTTCAGTAAGACATTTTAACAAACACTTTGCAGGCAGCCTGAAATTGATTTCTTTTATCCCAAAAATAATCATGCTCGATCTTCAATCAAAACCTGTGAAACAAACTCTATACATACAATATATATTGGAAGATCAATACACTAAGAATAAATCAAATTAATTACCAAATATATAGCTTAAGAGAATTACAAACTTGATGTGGATGAAGAGGTGTGCGAAATGTTGCCGTATGGTTATCATATTAGATGAGTATTTA